CAATGTGATACCCAAGCACATATATGATGCATTGTGATACCATTGTAGTAACGGTGGCCGGAGAGAGAAGAGAGGAGGGAGGAAAGTTTTAAAATACCAAAAAAATCATTGCATTAATATTTTAATTCAAAATTGTCAAAATTATAAATTTCCTAATTTATCTATTGATTTGTGGTTAATATTGGTTTTCACAGTTACCACAAACTAATTAGTTCTCATTTGATTAGGCCCCTATATATATATATATATATATATATATGTATATATATATATACACACACACACACACTAGTTGTCAACCCGTGCAATGCAACATGATATAAAATATGAATAAACATAATCGAGAATACTGATTACTTTAGATCCATTTAGGTTGCGTTTGTTACGCAGATGAGACTGGACAACTGTGCAATGTTCTAATTTTTAGCTTAACATCGATATCTTAGTCATTTACCATTTGACATATTTTCTTGAATTTTGATAGGATAAAAAAATGCATTTTTATCCAACTTGGTCCTCTCATTGCCGACCATAATCACACCAAAGGTAGGGTGACAAGTTTTTGTTCAAATATAATTCATTGTGAAGTTGTACCAAAATTAAGATTCAACATTATCACTTACTTTACTTGGTAAAATTTTAACCCATTAAACCGCATCGTATTATTTTACAAGTAAGATTTTAGTCCATCAAAATGGCATCGTATGCAACAATTTACTCCGTAAGCACTAACCAGGTAAGAGTCGTCACCTCCTTTACCAGCGAAGAATCTCGATCCTTGTCATCGTTTTTACATAGTAAGATTCTCAATTTTTGTCATGTTCATCAAACTAATTGTTGTTCATCACAGCAGCATATGTTGAGCAATAGCAGCTCCTGAAGAACAATGTGATTATTTTTAATGCTTCTTGTTTGTTTCACATTGCAAAGCAATATTGTACTTCACATGCATTTCACAATGTGAAACAACACATGATAAGTGGTTTTAGCGATTCTCAATATTTTTGTTGTCTTCAATTATGCCCTTATATGTGTGTGTATGAAACAACGCCTTAAATCATTGTTGTAAATAAAAAACTGATTGATATATACACTCTATTTATGTCAGAATCAGGTTAAATAATGTTTTAAAAATATAAAAAAAAGTATTGTTGTTGATGCGTATGTAAGAAGAAAATCAATTAGATAAAGTGTAGTATTTAGCAATACAGAGAGGTGCATTTAGGGGCCGTTTACCTAGATGCCTATCCGTAGAAGCCAACATTATAATTTATTTTACCGGGTAAAATTGTAGTACATCAAAATGGTATCATATACAACAATTTACCCGGTAAGCACTTACCCAGGTAAGAGTTATCACCCTCACTTACCGAGTAAGACTCTCCATCTTTATCGTTGTTCTTACCGGGTAAGATTTTTGACCCTTATCATGTTCATCCGGTAAGGGAAAATTACTCAATAAACATTTACCAGATAAACTTTTAATAAACGGTCCCTTAGTTGTAGGAAATATCATATTCGTACAACTTAGAAGTCAAAATGGTCCCAATAAAATTGGAAAATAGAAAATAAAAAAATGGTGATTTGCTTGAGTGTTGAATTGAAGTCGTATAATTTTCTTGTGTGGGGATGAAGAGATGATGGTCATCATATTGAAGACATCAACACCATGTGTTAATTATTATTTTTATCATTATTTCATTAATTTAAATTAATTATTTTCGTTATAACTATGTAAAATTTAAGTATTGTTTTATATGAATATTTTACTTAAAATTATAATTTAATATATATATATATATATTGATTTTATATTTAGTTTGTTTTATATTAGAAGGGTATTCGCACAATGTAACGAGATAAATCACGATTTTAGTGTTTAGTTTTTATTCTGTCTCTATCGGTATAATACGATTTTATGTGGTTTTGAGAACACAATAATATTTTTATTTTTAAATGAATATAAATTTGAAGATAACATAAAATTTTGAAAAAAAACAAGTCGATATTAGTATCAAATTAACTATTTAATAGTCTTGTTTTTTTGTGTAACTTTTTTAATTCAATTTTTTATTATAATTTAATTTAGATTTAATAACAAAGTAATTTATTTTTGGTTTAATAATATAATTTTTTATAAAGATGGTAATCAAACATTATGTTAGAATCCAATGATTTTAATTATATTTTAGATTTTCTATATTTAAAATGGATGTTTATCCTGTATTTGATTATATTTATCTATAGTTAGTTACACGAATTTAAAAATGGAGCTTTAATMAGTTGTACTTACGTAAAATTACTTGTAACCTTGAATTTTAAGTAATATGCATTAATAAAAATTACTTTATGCATAAAAAATGGTTTTTAAGAGTTTTTGTCAAATGATATATAATATAGTATAAATGTATTTACACTGTGAAACCTTTTAATGGTATTCTTTTTCTTTCATAAACACATAAAAAATGTTCACATTGTAAAACAAATATATCTAAAACAAACCCATTGTAAAATAAGTATATGTTAATTAATTTAATAAATTCAAATCATATAAAATAACATATGATACACTGATTCTCAAGATTATTGTAATTCTATACTTATTTTAGTGATTTATAAAATAAACCAAAGGATAAGTGATCTTTGGTTGCTATTGCTTGATTTTGACCAGTCTTATGCAAAGCTGGACTCACGTCTATATGTACATCCCCACATAACATAAACCCCAAAACTCAAATATTTTTTAAACTGGTTTTTCTGTTTCATCATAAATACGTAAATATTTACAAGTTCAAAATATTTATTAAACATGTCGTTTAAAGAAGAATTGCGTTCGCCTTTGCAACCACCGACGTACGGAAACCTGATCACGATTCTCAGTATCGACGGACGAGGAGTGCGGGGAATCATCCCAAGCGTTGTCCTTGAATTTTTGGAAAGTGAACTACAGGTAATATTATTTGTGGTTTCGTTGATTATAGGTTATTTTTTGTATCGTTGCAGAAACGTCGTAATGAAAGAGTCTGACAAACTTTTTGTATGAGATAGGAATTAGATGGCGAGAATGCAAGACTTGCTGATTATTTTGATGTAATGGCTGGGACAAGCACCGGTGGTCTTGTAACGGCTATGTTAACCACTCCTAATGAAGAGAACCGTCCGGTTTTCGCAGCTAAGGATGTTAAAGATTTTTATCTTGAACATTGTCCTAAAATATTTCCACATGATAGGTATGTATTATGAATGGCAAATAATTTTTTTTTGATTAACCTGGATATCCAACCCGCTATGCGAGCCGACTAATCCCAGGACGACTAACTGCTTTGCAGATAGCCCGGAGTCACCGCATTTGAACCTCCGTGGCCACAAGGGGATTTTTATTCCTCCTTGGATTTGAACCTGGGACCTTCTGGTACTTTTTGACCTTTGGAGCCAAGCTCAAACTAATCAAACACCACCCTTATCTTTGATGAAAACTTCCTCTTGGAGCATGCTTTCAAGATTTATAATCGTGTTTTTAGTTTTTAAAAGTACTCGTTTGTTAACAAAAACAACTGATAGAACAATTTAATAACGACTTGTAGTTTTGTTCACGTTAATTTCTGATTTTGCTCATGTTGTAAAACCCGACTTAATTTTAAGATTTTATTCACGTTGTCAAGAAATCTCTGATTCTAGACGCTAATGTTGTAGCGATGAATTGGAAGATTGTTAATTATGTGATTCGTCATCTCAAATATCCATGTTTTTGGTGCAATATATGTAGCAATCCGTTGGCTCCTGCTACAAAAGTGGTCAAAGCTTTATCGGGACCGAAACATAACGGTGAACACCTACACAAAGTTATTCGAGAAAAACTACAAGAAAGACGACTCAATGAAGAATTAACGAATGTCGTGATTCCAACTTTCGACATCAAATACTTGCAACCTACGATCTTCTCAAGCTATGAGGTATCAAGCTATCTATCTTTTATGTTATGTGCTCATAAAATCATCAAACCGCAAATGTTAGGATATGAAATTGAGAAAATGGGAATTTGTTTTTTCAAATAAATTTTAGAAAAAAGTTGTGAGAATAATAGCATACTGATATTCATATTTGATCAGTTAAAGAAGAATCCTAGTCTTGATGCCAAGTTATCTGATATATGCATCAGAACGTCAGCAGCCCCAACTTATCTTCCTTCTCATTCGTTTCAAACTGAAGATCCCGAAGGAAAATTACTTAGAGATTTCAATCTTATTGATGGTGGAGTAGCTGCCAACAATCCCGTATGTCTTATTAACTAGCAAATATGTGTAAACAATCGTTATACAAAAAAATCTGTAAATAACTTACGAAGGGAACTACTAATATATGTATTTTAAATTGGGCTAATTAATCATTTTTTTCTGTAGACTTTGGTTGCGATAAGTGAAGTAACAAAAGAAATAACCAGTGGAAGTCCCAATTTCTTCCCGATAAAGCCCACAGAATACAGCCGGTTTCTAGTTCTATCAATGGGCACAGGGTCACTGGAATTTCAAGAGAAGTATGATGCTACAAAGTCCTCCAACTGGGGTATTTTGGGGTGGTTGGCTGGTGGTGGCTCGACTCCTTTAGTGGACGTTTTTACTCAGGCGAGTGGAGATATGGTCGACTATCATATCTCTATCGTCTTCCAAGCTCTTCATTCACAAGATAATTATCTTCGCATTCAGGTATTTTTGCGTTCCATTTCTAGCGATAACTTGAAAATACTTGAAGTTATAATGTCTATCAGGCCTTGTAATGAACAAAAAAAGAAAAAGAAAATTGTTTAATCGAAAGAAATTATTATAACTGATTTTTATCAAACTGTAAAAACTGAACACAACTATAATGATAAAAAGTATTATTTTCTTTGTCGTGTTTTAGGATGACACCTTAAGTGGGGATCTAGCTTCCATGGATTTGGCGACCGAAGAGAACTTGGAGAATCTTGTGAAAGTGAGTGAGGACTTGTTGAAGAAACCAGTGAACCATACCATCAGACTACGAACGAGATGGCTTTAAAAAAGTATATTACTTTATGAAATATTTTATAGTTTTATCTAGATTTTTGAATCATATGTTGGTTTGAATGTTTCTTTTTTATATTGAATACTATAGGTTTGTGGGAATACATCACAACGAGAAGAATGTTCGAGAACTTAGATCGCCAAGTACGAATAAAGGACGGGTTAGTCGAAGCGATTCGATCGAAGACCGAATTGCACGTTCTCAAAGAGTGCCTGCACTCTCGAACACAATTAATCACTCTCTTCCAGACTTACATGAGCTCAAGTGGGACTAAGATTTTGTTTGTTGTGCACGGGGAATTTATCATATTCATTATTTTTTCAGTTATCTTGTCTGACTAAAAACATAAATAACCAATAAAATCGTACAGTTAATGAAATCCATATGATAAATTATTAAATGTTGACACATTTCCTTTGGAAGGATTATAAGATGTTTGTGAACAGATATTTGCATGCATAGTGATACGGTGAACGATTTTTATAAACCTGCGTATATGAGCAATTTTTACATGAAATACCTCAACAAAATCCAATAGGGTCGTGAATTTAACAACCATACAAACCTGTAGTCGCCCTAAGGGACTCAAACCTTTAAACAGTTGAAAATTCACGTGGCATTTGAATCTATGACCAATAATAATCAAGTCTTAAGTTGTATCCACTTTGATCGCTAACAAATTGCATAGAAAGATAGATATTAATCCTGATGGCAAACCATGCAAGTATATTGGTTTCTTGTAATATAACCATTTTACACGGTCCAATCAATTATAAAATTTTTAATAACGCTACATAAGAGTGAATTATAATCTCCGTCCTTTTGGGTTGTTAATAATTTTGATTTTCGTCCTTATGGTTTAACAATTGCGATTTTGATCCTTATGGTTTGTAATTTATTGCTATTTTCGTTCATAAACTAATTCCTACATTTAAGTGTAAGGGGACCAAAACAGTAAAAAAATGTAAACCATAGCGACTGAAATAACAATAAATTACAAATCATAAGGACCAAAATAACAATGAATTATAAATCATAGAGATGAAAACTATAACTTTTAAACTATAAGGATGAAAATCATAATTTTTAATAACCCACATGGATGAAAAACTTAATTGACTCTAAAAATATTTTTATTCGTGTAAAATATTTCCTAAAAGAAGGGGTTGGAGTGTAATTTTAGGAAAATTAAAGGGTAACAATGTAAATTATTGGGGAGGAGAAAATAGATGCCGTGGACGAAAAACGACTGCATCGCCGCCTCTTTACGGCGATCGTCTATGCCGTCCCTTTCCCCATTTTGCGCAGATTTTCCTCTTTTTCTCTTGAATTTTCTACTATAATGCTCCGTCGTATAGTTCCTAGTAGAACCACCGTCAACCACCGTCGCGTATATCTATCTAACTGTAATCGCCACCGCTTCTTCTCTGCTAATCCTTCAGATTGCAATTCAAAAGATTCAACCGGTTACGCCCATGACCTCAACGGTTCACAAGATTCCCTTCCGCCACCACAACTTCCGGTTCTCCATCGCCTCCGCCCTAGTTCTCTGTCTCCTCTTTCTCGCACTTCTCCTTTTGCCTTATCAGCAACAGTGATATCCGCTGCGGCTGTTCTTGCTGCCTCTTATGTCATTTTATTTGATGACAGCCAAATTAAGGAAGAACAGCCGAATAACAAGCGCTTGTTTGATGATTTTGAGCACGCGGTTGAACGGTCGAAGGAGTCGTTGAAGAGAGTTGTGAATACGATGAAGCATACCGGTGTTGCGGCATCGGTTCTTTGGAAGTCTCTTCGTTCTGTTTTGTCTTCGGCGAACCATGAAGTTTGGTCAGGGTTTGAGGTTAGGGTTGCGGCGTTGTTGGCGGATATTGCGGCGGCGAATGAGAGCCGGAGGGCTGCGATTGTAGGCGCTGGTGGTGGTGTGGTGTTGGATTGGTTATTGGAGTCTGTGGCGCTCACCGGAGGAGGAAACTATGGGACTCAGGCGGAGTCGGCTAGGGCACTGGCATACTTGATTGCTGATCCTAATGTGTGTGAGGCTGTTCTTGGTAGGTCTCATGCTATCCCCAATCTTCTGAGGTTCATATTCTTTGCTCAACCACATCAATCGGAAAAGGTATTTCTGTTATCATTGGGCAACAGCATTTTCTGTATAGTAGTGCATTGTGTGTTAGCAAGTGTAAGACGTATAGCATATGCAAAAATGTAGCTTATATTATCTAATGTTGAAGTATGATCTTGTTTATGGCTTTGAATTAGTATGTTGGATGAGTCTTTGTTTGGTAGTTATACTCAGTGAGCTTTCATTTATGTTTTGTGGTGGTTTTGTTTTTTCTGGCATGTTTGTATGCCATAAAACTACCATTTCATATTTTCCTTCTGGATATTGTAGTCTGATAAGGCTCTTTTATCTTCCAACTGCTTTCTAGCAACAAAATTGCTGGTCAGGGAGGGGGACTACCTTGTTCTATATCAGCCTGGGTTGATATTGTCAAGGCTCTTTTTAGCTATATGCATTACAATCAGGCCAGGGAAGTTGGAGCTAATCTCAAGTTTGTAATGCGATCGGATGTTCTAGGCTCCACTTGCACTACAAGCCTACACTCGTTTATTCAACTAGTATATGGTCTAGGCTAATGGGCGGAATTCCTAGTAAACGTGAGTTATCAACTTGTATTTACTGCTTCTGTGCTCTGTGTACCTATTATTTGTTGTTCCTACCGATGAATGCACTATAAAGTGTTGCTTATATGGGTGGTTTCACTGCAGGTGACGTCAAGATAAAACTACTAAACCTCGTCATTTAAGAAATAGGAAAAGATGAGCTCCACCAAACATAACTAACAACTCGTTAACCATTGCTGGTGATGTATAAAGTATAACTAACAATCTAGTAAATGGAAGTGTTCAACATTACTAATTCAATGCTGTAGAATTGTGATTGCACTTTACCATCCTTCTTAATCTTGATTTATTGGAGTAGTCATTTCCATCATGCAGTTTAACATAACAATTTTATATGGAATGCACCATTAATTGACAAATTTTTTTTACATAAAAAGCACCTCAATTTAATTTTTGTAGGCATGTACATGCTCGACTTTTGGGGATAGATTTGTCCACTACGTTCCTGCAATCAACAAACTCAGCCACGCATACACATTGAATCATCCTTTTAGGTATTAGACTTATTAGCCAACATCATTGTCAAACTTTTAAATATGAACCTTTCATCAGGCTCAAGTTGGATGAATGGAATGGCTAAACTACCAAATCGGAATGTGGAGTATGTTGAAGTGTAATCCTGATTTTATAGCTTTGAACATTATTGTCTAACGAGTCTAAGCAGGTTGCTAATTTGCTTAGTGGGTTTGGTATTTTTAGTTGTCTATTAGGTTTACATATTTTTTGGGCACGGATCCAATTTTTTCTGGGTATTACATAAAAATAAGATTTCATGGGTTCTTTTTGTAATTTACTGAAGGTATAGTGGCATACTACTGCAGAACTTAACTCATTAGGGCAAACTATCCTTCTTTTATTAGCTCTCACCCATTCTCTCTCTCCCTCATTACATACAAAGATACCCTCTGTTTCTTTTATAACTCAACATTAGATAAATTCCTTAAACTTTAGCTCTGCCTGTGGAATCATTCATGAAACTTTAGGTGATTGAGTTTATACTTTTATTGCTGAAAGAAAAAGAAGAAGAAAGACTGTTGTTGTGAAATACTTAAAATCTTTGGAAAATCAGAAATTGATGACATTTATGGATGTTTAGTGGCTAGTGGCAGAATTACTCTATCGTAGGAGACTCAAATTCATTACTACTGCAGTTGATTGGCATTCTTCTTTCTACCTACTTTAGGTTTTTCATAATAAAATAAGGAACATATGGAAATCAAAATTTCAGCTATTTGCAGTCTGTTTTGTGCATTGTTCTTTACATCTTCGGCACTAGTTTTCCATAGTTTTTCTCAAATCATTGCCAGCCTCTGTTGCTTCTGGCAGATCGATGCTCTCAAGTCTCTTCCCAACCCGCTTCATTTCTCCTTTGCAGCCTCATATTCTTATTGGTGCTGCACCACCACTGTTTCACCATGTTTATCAATACTGTCGACGACCACCTTCAGTATTCTTCTCAATCCTTTTCCGGCAAGGCAGCGTCATAGTTGTCGGACTCTTTCACCCTCTCCTAAGAACCCCCTTCCCTTTTCATCATTTTGCCCTGTTAGTTGGGGCTTTATCGGGTGGCTTAGGATTTGATGGCTACATGTGGGTAAGTTTATGACACGAGGACGCATTCTGGTGGATCATTTTCTGCTTCCCTCTCCATTGACTCGTGCTTGGAGGGTTAAATCTTGGTTCAATTTTCTGCAACTGGCTGCTTCGTGGTTCTGGTGGTGTTTTAATTGTTTATATAGTATGTGCTTCTAACCATTGATTCTTCATAATTCTCAATATTTCTAGGCTTTTGTTTGTGATTGTAGGATTGGACCTCCGACTAGAGATTGACCTATAAGTGTTTCAATGGATTATTTTGATATGAGTTGAATAATCTCATAATTTTCTTATTATGCTAGTTTGTCTATCTACTTAGAAAATACAGGCTGTATGCGCACCCAGATTTTGTATTTTGGAAAATGCCAAACACAGGCCCTATAAGTATCACATCCATCCATGCTTCCTAGTCTGTTATCAGCGGATTAGAATAATTTGTATTTTGTGTATTGTGATTCAAATAAGATCTATTCCAAATGTGCCTCTGAATGTTGATTTTTGGTCATTAAGTATGGCCATTCTGTTTGGATGGCTTTCAATGGAGTGAGACTTTATGACGAACCAAAGTTAGGAACTTTTATGTATTTAACCAATTGAAGCGCCAGAACTTTGTGCTTAGAGCCTCTGGTGTTGATGGAGGACTATAGCTATGTGAATATAGGTGGTTTAACTTATGGTTCTGGATTGATCGGTAACACACCATGTCTAGATCGAGAAGCACTTCTATTTTGTTCTTCCTATTTTCCTTAACCGATTGAAATGAAAAATTTCCGACCATCCTGCCCTCACTCCCTTTTTTCTCACCTAGTTACTGGCTTTTTTCTCTAACAACCCTGCTTTGAAATTCTAGGTAAATGGACTTGCTACTTGTCCACCTTATAAAAGCTACATGCATAAATAAATGAAGTTACTCACAGCTTGTATTGGAAATTAGCGTTTGATTAATTTCATATACACGTATAGATATACATATACAAGTTTATCCAGAATAACTTTTTGTTGATATAGCATTTTCATGAAAGCAGCAACCACGGCGCAGTTCGTTCGATATTTCTGATCCTTCGAGAGGCAGGAGCATGCTTGTTGCAGCAATCATGGATATTGTCACTTCCAACTGTGACAACGTGGACAAGATCAGGCTTAAGCCCAAGCTATCAGGGGCTGCTGCAATGAGAGATATTGCAGCTGCACTTCAGGTTGTTGAAGAAGGTGGCATGCTGATGGATGAGCCACCAGGTAGTCAGGATGATGACGATGGTGGAACTGGATTGAAGGGAATTGGAATGAAAGTTCTTGGAGGTACTACGGTTGTGGGCCTTTCCCGAACTAATGGGTCAATTGAGTTGGAGGAATCTAATGCCACTCACTCCGCATCTTTTAAATCTACTGCAAAAGCTCTCACCCTTAACAAATTAAATGATAGCTCTCCTGCACATACAAGTTTGTCATCAGCTGTTATCCCTGGATTATGGGATGATTTGCATTCTCAACATGTTGCTGTTCCATTTGCTGCATGGGCTTTGGCAAATTGGGCAATGGCCTCAGATGTGAATAGATCCCATATCCAAGAACTTGACCAAGATGGGCATGCTGTCATGTCTGCTTTGGTTGCTCCTGAGAGATCTGTGAAATGGCATGGGAGTTTAGTTGCTCGGTTATTGTTAGAAGACCGAAATCTTCCCATGAATGATTTTGTTTCCGATTGGAGTTCTAGCCTTCTTACAACTGTGTCTCAAGCGAGCAAAACTGATGATGTCTCTTTGACTAGGGTGGCTTTGTCTGCATTTTTAGTATCTATTGAGAGGTCCCCTGGGGCTCGAAAGGCAGTTATGGAAAAAGGTCTTCATCTAATGAGGGAAACTGCTAAACGAACAATGGATCACAAGTTCGTACAAGAAGCATTAGCAAAAGGTCTAGAATCACTTTGTTCAGGGGACATGCATTTGTCTCTTCAGGAAGGACAGAAGTGGTCTTGCATCTTGATGCAGTGGGTATTCAGAGAGACTTCAACTGATGCTATTAGATCTTCTGCCATAACAATCCTTTCTCGCATTTGTGAAGACTATGGACCATCTTCTGTACCAATTTCTCAAGGTTGGTTAGCTATTATGCTTTCTGACATTCTGAAATCCAGGAAGTTATCTCTTAAAGGGAGTGCTCAGCCTAGGGACAAAGTGAAGGTTTGTAGCTGTGTTGTCTATTTCATATGTTGGTTACTGCATGCCCATCCTCCCAAAATGATTGCTTTACTTCCCCTTTTTGGGATGCTATCTATTTTTGGTTCCTAGGCTGCACATATTGTTCAATTTGAGCTGTAGTTATATGTGTTGTATCAACTCCTTTTTTTATGGTAATTGATGAAGACAACTAATTCTTGCAGACTCAAATCGATCAGGCAAATGTGGTTTCTGGCACACAGAGTGTCAACCAATTGGCTAGTGCTGTGGTTAATTTGGCTGCCAATCAGCTGGGAACAGAATCTGTTAATGGTGATTTGTATTCTTTAGCAGATTTTCTCAGCCTTGAACCCCTTGTTGGAGCATACAAAAATCTGAAGAAAGACAGCTTGCCTAAAGTGAATGCTGCAGATTCTGCACTGGCAACTCTGAAGGGGATCAAAGCCATGACAGAGATTTGCAGCGATGACTTGTTTTGTCAAGACGAAATAGTTGATTATGGTGTAATTCCTTTGTTGCGTCGCTTTCTATTAAGAGATGATTACGAGAAATTATCAGCAACTGAAGCATATGATGCATCCAGAGACATGGAAGCCAGGGATCATGGCGAGTCCTCCGTTTCTGATGCACGTGATCCATCTAGCGTCCGTGTGCCACCCACAGCTCATGTCCGCAGACATGCAGCTCGGTTGTTAACAGTGCTCTCAGTCCATCCAAAAGCCAAGAAGTTGATACTAGATGATAACGCTTGGTGTAATTGGCTTGAGGAATGTGCAAATGGAAAGATCGCTGGATGCAATGACCTCAAAACTCAGAGTTATGCTAGAGCAACATTGTTAAATATCTTCTGCAATGATGATGATTCTGGAGATGTTGTTAATAATGGTCGTCCTGGTGGCACGGATAAAAATCATAGTTGTGCTCGTTATCCGGAGATGTTCTTTTTAATCAACCCTGAACTATCTCACTGGGAATGTCCTAGAAAAGGAAGGCAGGAGTCTGCAGTAGATACATCAACAGAAAATGAAAATCAAATTGATCCCTTTATAAGAGTGGACAAGGAGGCTATTGATGTTGAGAATGGCCCCTTTACTAAAGTTCCCCGTGATGCCAGCATCCCTAATTCTAATACTAGATCAGAGAGTCACACAGGAGATCCTTCATTCGACGTCATCTTTGTTCATGGGCTGCGTGGTGGACCATTTAAGACTTGGCGGTTATCTGAGTGCAAATCATCATCTAAATCTGGCCTCGTGGAAAAGATTGATGAAGAGGCAGGAAAACAAGGAACTTTTTGGCCTGGAGAGTGGCTTTCAGCAGACTTCCCTCATGCTCGTTTGTTTACTCTTAAGTACAAGGTTTGTGATCATAGAGGTGTCAGTTTAAAATGCATTCTACTTCTTTTGTGCCTACATGATTATAACTGATTTTTGACTAATATCTTTTTCAGACAAATCTTACACAGTGGTCTGGATCAAGCTTACCTCTCCAGGTTTGTGTTCTTTGACATAAAGTACATCTGTACATGTTGCTTGGGTTGTTGATGCTAAATTGTTGGGATATTTGTTCTAGCAGTGGCATATTGTGTTATCACTCCAAAAACCAATATTGATGATGGAGTCAGTGGCTTCCGGCGAATTTAATGTGTGTTTGCTAAGAATGAACTGTTCCTGGGTATGAGATGAAACCTGCATACGTGAAACCCTTGTCACACATCCCAGCGACAGGGTCTTTTAGCTAGATTACCTTGTTTTTTTTCAGAGAGATCTTCTAATGATTAATGTGCATCAGTTTTGCAATGCACTAACCTGGAGTGGACTTGTAGCCCCAAAAGGTTGGATCTTTAGCCATCTTGGTTGTTCTCTATGAGCACCTGCTCTGTATTCTATCTCCGTTTGTGGTGGGTTGCTTATCAGGGAATGTGTGTGAATCGCGGTGAAGCAGAGCATGCAGAGTCGATCAAACCAAACCAAACGAACCCAATATGTCCTACCTAGAGGTGGGGTCTGCGAAGGGTGAAATGTACGCAGACCTGACCTCTACCCTGTAGAGTAGAGTAACTGTTTCCATGAAGACCCTCGGCTTGTGCAAAGTGTACGACAAGAAATGATAAAGCTTGCTAAAAAAATAAATAATAAATAAATAAATACAGTGTCAATTGAGAATCATATTATTGTTAGTAGGTTCTACTCTGTAATAAATAAAGAGCATGCCAATTGATGGAAAACGCCGATTGACAATCATTATTGGTAGATTTTTATCATTATAGGTAGAAGTATTATTAGAAAGAAGTTCAATTTTTTTGTTAAAATGAGTTTATCCTAGTCATCCTTAATTATGGTATATTACAGTTTTATCTTGGTGAGTTCTTTGCAAGCTTTTCATGTTTAGGGATCTAATCCCATTTCTTACACAGTGAACTAATTATGGAATTACAATTTTATCTTTGTTAGTTCTTTATAGCCTTGGAGGTCTTTTGATTATTTAGAAGTCTAAGTAACTATAAGATGGCTCTTAAATAACATTTGATGCACAACTATGCAAATTTATATTTGTGATTATACTTCTTAAGACTGTGTTTTAGTACGATTCTATAAAAATGGTGGTATGTCTTATGTGAAACCTGGTAAAAGTACCTTTCGAACACAGATTTGAGTTAAACAAATAATGGTCGGCATGTTTCTCAATAAAATACTCCGGGACAGTAACCCAGTTCCTATCATACACATAAACCTGAAGACCAAAAGCAAGATATAAAATGTCTGTTGTAAGTTAAAATGTCACTAGCAAATCCAGTTTGGGAGAAAAGTTGAAATCAATAAATAGCTCACCATATTTTGGGACGGGAAGTACTTGAAGATCTAAGTTGAGGTCTTCCATCTTTTCCCTCTTCTCCTCTACCATCTTCCCATCTTTGACGTCATGCGTTCCCTTGGGTTGGCAATTGGCTATAGCTAGTTCATTCTGAATTGGCCCTCCCTCTGTCGGCTTCCACATTGTTTTGGTGGGTTTGAATTGTTTCTGTCGCTATGTTTAACTATATGGCTCCATTTATAAATTTGAATTAGGCTATGGATGACTGAGATATATGGTATCGGCTCTCTACCTCACATGGATAATGCTTTTTCTCACAATCAGTTGCATTTGTATGTCCGTAACCATGGGAGAGGTGCCAATACTGAATTGATAAGAATCTAGTTGTCAACATATAAGGAAAATTGACAATCCATTTGGAACCATTCGGTGTGTAGATTGGATCCAGGGCTTCATGACCTACACTTGATGATGTGACTGATGTCAACATAGACGTCCAGCGCTTCATGACCTACACTGTATTATATGTGCATGTCTAATGCTCATGGCACACGAGGGATGTGTTGAGGCTACAGATCCTCATTGGGCATGAAAGATCCCCAACAAATGTACTTACTACCAGTTGATTTCAACATTTGACTTGCATATCGATAGATCGCTCAACATTTTACAGTTCAGATGTTCATTCTGGGTGCTGGGTCTATCAGCTTAGACGAATTTTATAAGCCTATTTTCATTAATGACATATTATTCTGTGCTGCTTGAGATCAACTGGCATATGGATTTTGCAGGAAGTTAGTTCCATGCTGCTGGAAAAGCTAATTGCAGCACGCATTGGAGATCGACCAGTTATATTCGTAACTCATAGGTTTGTATAATAGTTTCCATTTTTTCACCTTATGCTCAGTGGCTTTGCTAAATTGAATAACCATGGATGAAATCAAGCCAAGTTACAACAAGATCACATCTGTTAGCATTTTGTCATTGATCCACTTGACACCCTAGGTTTCATAAAAAAGTTAAATAATACTTTCATACGCTTGTTTATAGGAGAGACAAGTTGCACAATTGCAAATTTATCGATCCGCTTAAGATTAGAATATCCAATTAGGGAAACAACACCAACACCCTCCTCTCATCCCCCACCCCACCACGGCATTTAGAAAGAAGTGAAAAAGAGAATATAATGATTCAATTCTTTCTCCTTGTCTGCAGTCCATTTTAGTACATTGTTAATCTGGAAATAGTTATGTATTGCAGCATGGGGGGCTTAGTTGTGAAGCAAATGCTGCATCAGGCAAGTGCAGAAAACAGAGGCAATCTTGTCAGAAACACTGTTGGTGTGGTATGTTCTAGTGAATAAAGTTCGATAATGTTGCATATAAAAATTCCACTTCTAATCAATGTTATTAATATTCATCTGGTTTTAGGTGTTCTACAGTTGCCCACATTTTGGTAGCAAACTTGCGGACATGCCGTGGCGAATGGGTTATGTGTTTCGGCCAGCACCATCGGTTAGCACTTAGCACCTCCACCAAATTTGAGTCTAAAATCCCTTCCCCTTGGATATTATCAACTAACTGAAGACCAATCAAGTAAAAGTGGTGTGGTGTTGTCTGGCTTTAACGATTATTGCAATGTGTTTATTTCTATTTTGTCAGATAGGCGAGTTGAGAAGTGGGTCTACAAGATTAGTGGAGCTTAACGATTTTCTTCATGATCTACATAAAAAAGGGTCGCTCGATGTTCTCAGTTTCTGTGAGGTAGTACCATAAGTCATCCGGATTCAATATGCAGATGCTGTATGCTTTTGGATGGACGTGTCCATGTTTGTTTGGGAGTCTAATTGGCTGTTGAATGTTCTACAGACTAAAGTAACTCCAATAGTTGAAGGCTATGGGGGATGGGCTTTTCGGCTGGAAATAGTTCCAATTGAATCGGCATATCCTGGATACGGGGAACTTGTTGTAAGTTTTCAAATACTAAAACTTTTCTTCTCATTCGAACATGCATAAAATTGCCTTCCCATTGATAGTAAGAAGCAGTAGAAGATACACTGAGATACAGAAAAAGTAATAATGCAAGGCAAAACACACATAATGAGGTCTGGTAGGGTAAAAAAGTTACAGGTAAATTTGCTTGTTTTGGAAGTTGACAGGGGTCAACAGACTCCGCCATGTTCGTTGTGGGTCTGCACCTGACCCTAGTCCTGTGTCTTGAGAACCTCCAGCTAGCATAATTTTTTTTTTATAAATTCTGTATTTCCAATTTTGCCACTAAGTGATAACGTTGACAACATTTGTGGCATTAGCATGATACTACCTCGGTACCTCCTTCTCAAAGTAAATGTCCACGATGAAAAAGGCACACTACTTTAGAAATGTGTAATCGTTACAATTTTTAATTGATTAAATGACAATTTTGCCCTTACTAATAAAGAGATAATTAATTTCTCCATCTCATGATTAAGGGTGGAATTGGGAAGTAGACATTAACTTTTAAAAATGGACACTATAAACTAAAATAGAAATGTAGACACTTATGAGGGAATACCAATATTACCAGTAGTGTCGGTGATTACTTGCAGCAGCAGCTGATGGAATAATTTTTATTGTACGTAATAAACTATGTAGATTTTATTGAAACAAAGCATTTAGAAGCAAAATAATAATCAAAGGCTCTTAATGTTTCATTCGAAAAAATGCTTAGTCAGAGCCGATTGTGCAGGTACTGGAGTCGACTGATCATGTAAATTCATGCAAACCTATTAGCCGAACCGATCCTTCTTACAGTGAAACGTTGCGTTTTTTGCTCAAACTTAGAGATGCACATCGATGAAGAGCGCACCCTCTGTAGATAACCATAACACCAAGTACGGAGCGAAAGCTAAACACGATTGGTTGACGAAATGGCATGTTGCACAGGTAGAGCGGCTAGATTGTTCAAACGAGAATACAGAATTTACCATTTTAGTCCCATTTTGCCCTCTTGGTAATTTTTTGACAGGTTCTTATGCTGCTGCTAGAATGCTATTATGAAACTGATGGCTGTTGTATGTAACAAATGAGAAGAATAAAAACAGGAACCAAAATCTTGGATTTCTTATGTCATTGGGGTTGTAAATATTACCATATTTATTTTATTTTATTTTTATTCAAGTGTATTTGGATATTTGGTAAATAATTAAATAGTTTTGTTAAGTCCATATGTTTAAGTAAATAAATAAGATGCAAAAATGCTTCTAATTTTTAGTATGCTTTTTTGGTATATGCATTATATTATAAAACATTTAATAAAAACTCTTAAAAATTATTTTTTATGTATGAAATACTGTTTATTGATGCATATTACTTAAAATTTAAGATTACAAGTAATTTTATGCAAGTATAATTTATTAAAGCTCCAATTTTAAATTTGTGTAACTAACTGTTGATAAACATAATTTTATATAGGATAAACATCCATTTTTAAATATAAAAAATTTAAAATATAATTAAGATAATTATTGAGTTATAAAAGAATGTTTAATTATTGTCTTTATAAAAAAATTATATTATTAAACTAAAATTAAATTAATTTGTTATTAAATCTAAATTAAATTATGATAAAAACATTAAATTAAAGAAGTTATAACTATCAAATGGTTAATTTGATACTATTGTCGATTTATTTTTTATAAATTTTTATGCTATCTTTAAATTTATATTTTAATTCAAAAATAAAAACATCATCGCTTTTTCAAAACTATATAAAATCATATTATATTGATGGAGACAAAGAATAGAAACTAAACATTAAAATGAAGATTTATCTTATTACATTACACGAGTACCCTTCTAATTTGTTTTATGATGAAAATCACGTATCCCAAAATCAATCGTCATACCAGTGAAATTAAGATTTTTATTTATTTTATTTAAAGTGAATTGCAAATTTGGTCCCTATGGTTTGTGTTTTGACATTCTGGATCCTTATATCAAAATATCTATGGATTACATCCTTGTGGTTTGTATTTTATAACTCATTGGATCTCTGTCACTAACTTTGTCCAAAAAATTTGTTTACTCAGTTAGTTTAAAGAGGTATTTTATTCCTTTAATTTATGTTTTATTTTCTATTAAAAACTTATTCTTTATTTAAAAACCACAGGGACCAAGAACGTAGCCATCGTTACAACCACCATCCATCACCACCTCCATTACAATCAAGATGCAGATCTTGATTGTAGGAAATTAGATAGACCGAAGATGATAATGGAACATATATATAACACACACACATACGTATCCACGTATGTAAGTGACGTTTCATTTACAAACCATCTAATTCTAACAAACTATATAAACCATAATCAATGTTTATACTTTATATTAAGAAACAATAGAGATAATTATGGATAATTATTATGATTCATTAATTATAATCGAGATATATATGAAAGATAATAAGGTTCATTCATTATGATCATGATTTTATATTAGGAAAAAAGATGGAATCATATATTTATTAGACTCGAAGGACGGCTAAGATTTGTTTGTATAGTTTGTTAGAATGAGTGTTTGTAAATGAAACGTCCCTTTTAGATGCATATATATAGAGTAAATTACATTACTGGTCCCTATGGTTGTAAAAGATTATAAAAAATAAGTTATATGACTAAAATACCCTCTAAATTAACCAAGTTAACAACACCTTTTGGACAAAGTTAGTTACAGATGCATTATAAATGTAAACCACAAGGATGTAATTTATAAATATTTCAAATAGGGATCTAGAGTGATAGAACACATAAACCACATGGACCAAATTTTTAATTCATTTTTTATTTATTTAATTTATATTTATATTTTCTCTTTTATTAGGTGTAGTTATGTAATTGATGGATAAAAATGAGATTTAGGGGTGTTTGAGATTGCTTATAAAAACAACTTATTGACTTATTTCGATATAACACCGGTAATAAACACCTTTGAGTGTTTGGATAAACAACTTATACCGGTGCCAAACCGACAATAAATAGTTTTTAACGAAGTTAAACCCTTCCGACTTGTAATAAGTTGATAAATGCTTTGTAGAAAAGCATTAGTTATTTTAAATAAGCAATCCCAAATACCCTCTTAAAAAAATTAGGAAAATGTGATTTTTATACATTTATTTAAGAGTAAAAATTGTGTACGTTATAGGAGCATTACCACTCCAATAATAAGTGAAGTCAATACGAAACCATGACCTACGTGACCAAGTTGCCAACTAAGTTATTGTTATCCGTTTCTTTGTTATAATAAAATAATGTTTAATTAAATATATAATAACTTTTGTTCATCAAAATTCAATTGCAAACCTGATTTTTTATTGTCAATCGAGGGACAAATAAGAGCACGACACGTCAACATAAGTTCCTGTTCATTATTAATAATGAACAAGGAATGTGGATTTTTGACAGTATTCATGATGAATATCTCAGAGAATGCCTGAGACACGTGGCACGTTTCTCGTTTAATTGTTCTCCGCTTCGCAATGGAAGTTAGGTTTGCAATTGAATTTACCTTTTAACTTTCTAAATAGTTGTTGAACACAAAATGTTTATAATAACATTGTAAACGATTGTTATCATGTTTATTTTAAGGTTATAAGTGACGTGAGATGTAGCGTGCCAGTGAAGCTTGACGTGGCAGTGACGCCAAACCTCAAACCTTATGAGCCATGCCATAACATTTTTCAATGTATGACTTATGACGACAAATCTCTGTATCATATATAATATTATATATATATATATATATATATATATAAACATAAATTTTCTATTATTACTCAATGAATCAATAATAATCAACAAATTAAATTGGATTATATATATTAAAAACTAATAAATAAAACATAAAAAAAGTAAGAAAAATATTAAAAAACTACGCATTAAGCCAAAGCATGCAATTGAGTTAACATGCCATTATACTTTTTAGATGCATGATATGTAATAAGATATATTTTTGTTAAATTGTATAGTAATATTCCTTTGGACAATTAAGTGCATAATAGTTAGATAGACTTGAGATCATGTGAGATCAGTTTGTTTTTGTGAGATTCATAAGACCACATTTTTACACTTGAAACTTCATAGAAAAACATTGTAAAGATAACATTCACAATGTTTTTGTTGTGAAGGTTCATAATTTTTTATCTTCACAGTATTCTATTACGAAATTTAAAATGTAAAAATATAATTTTACGAAAACAGGTTGGACTCACGTGATCACAATTCTAGTTACATAGCTTAGAGACACATGTTTTAAATGTCTCATATTTGAATTGTTATCAATTCTTTATTCAAAGTTCAATAGTCAAAAGACTTAAAAGTTTGTTTTATTTATATAAATAATGTATTTCACATAGATCTTGTGAACTAATTAAACTTTATCAGATTTTCGGGTCTCTTTTAGTTATGTGCCCCTTTTTGTTATGGTTTTTGCGAGTTTTCTTCTGACTTTGGTTCTGTAAAATCAGAAGAAAAAACTCAATTTCATTTATGAAACAACACATGAAACCAAATATACAGAACCCTACTCTCCATTGATTAAAAAAGTTTAGTACGTGTCGTTAAATAACCAAATTATCTATTAAACGATAAAAGACAATATTACCCTTTCACTTAAATAAAAATCGCCAGAATTAAGAAAAAGAAAAGAAATATAGACAATTAGATTAACGGGTCATTTACTAAATACTTACTTGGTAAGTGTTTAGCGGATAAATTTTCTTATCGAATGAACATGAGAAAGACCAAAAATCCGGGTAAGAGCGATGAGAAGGATGGAGAGTCTTACCCGGTAAGTGCGGATGACAACTCTTACCGAGGTAAGCGCTTACCCAGCAAATTGTAGCATTCGATATGTTTTGATATACTAAAATCTTACGTGTCAAAATAAATTATAGTGTTGACACCTATCGGTAAGTACTTACTGGGTAAACATTTAGGTAAATGATCTTTGTAATTTTAAATATTTAATAAAATCCTTATTAAATTATTCATGCATGTTCGGACAAAGAAGTACATGATAGTTGCGTGTATTAAGGGACAAGTTGCATTTTGTCCAATTCTAATGGCCTATATATACATGTCCACATTACCATCTTTTACTTGCACTTATCTCACCTTCAATTGGCATTGCACCAAACATGAAATGCTTTGCATTACTTATGCTACTACTGGTACTTGTCTCGTTCTTTTTTACTACAACTCAAGCAAGACCGTCAAGTCGTATCGATACACCAACCCGACCCCAACACCCGATTGGCGTAGCAGCCAGCAGTGTCGACCGTGTCTTGATAGACAACGACCATAAAAGAGATCCCACCATCGAACAAGATTTTCGTCCCACCACGCCAGGACATAGTCCTGGTGTTGGTCATTGATCTGGGTATGTCAGCATTGTGGCCTTGGATTCGAAGGCATATATAAATTGTAGATATGTTGTACTTAATGATTTGTTGAAAAAATGATGATATTAATTTGTTAGTGGATCGTTACGGTTGCTTCATAATTTCTTTGATTGTATGTGATCATTTTGATTTTGGATACCCATTTTTATTCTTAACGAAATTTGTTATGTACATATCTTTGTATTTTTTTGACATATTAATTTATCATTATGTAAAGGGAAATCATCCAAAATAACCATTTTATACGTTGTATATTAACAAAATGTCCACTTTTCAAAACTATTTCATAAAATGACAACCAAAATCGCCCTTGGAGGGTGATTTTGATTATAAGGTACGGATGAGTCCCACATGTATACCATTTGGGGGGACAAAAATCAAATATTATATCTGAAAATGGGTAAATCGCCCTCAAAAAGTGAAAATCGTCCCATGAGGGCGATTTTGACCTGTATTTCGTCTTCTACTGAAGACAACTTATAACGCAGCGATTTGACACATTAATGACGATTTGACGAGACATCTGGGGTGATTTTCATTGGTATTTTTGTCTTTTTATGACTAAATGAAATATATAAAATCTTGTAGTATTCTCTATAAAATTGTAGTGATCCAAACACTTCTACTCCCACAACCCTTAGCCCGCCACTTTGAACATACATGGAACCATTATTACTTTGACGTAATTTCATATTTATGTTAAGTATTGCGATGAT